GTGATAATGGAGGAAATTTCTCCATTGGTACCAGATGGAGACACCAACCTATAAACCCCTTAAATATCTCATTGGCGTCAGAAACTGTATAGAAGCGTGCAGGTTTGTAAACGCTCCCAAGTGTAGAGTGATTCTGTTCACTGAAACCTCCTAGTAGAAAAGTTGATGTTAGCAAAAGAGAGGTCTTCCTGCAACAGCTATAACTACTGAGGCTTTGATATTGTTGGTAACTCTGAGCAAAGCAGCACTTTAGAAACATGAGGCCTTCCCTTCATTCACATCTGGCCACTCATATGGACAAACAAATTGCTTGTGAGGGATGAATGCGCTACTTACCGATTGTGTAGCTCAACTTGTGACCACACTAAGTAGATGTTTTATCTGACACTGAGGTTTTGCCACCCCGCCGAGCCGATACAAAAGTCATCGAAGTTATCCTGGTAATTAACCCATTCTGTTCTGTTACGTGTTCTTCCGCTCTGTTGCAACTGAAGTAAAACGCAATCAGAACTGATATGCACTATAACCCCCAGCTATTTGGAGGCCAAGATACGAGCCTCGTGACCGATGGGATGCCGTTAACCCCAAGAGTAGAAAATAAAATAAGAATTTAAGCAACCTCGGAACTCTACACTCTAATAACTCTTACCTAATAAATCCGTTTCCATGCTTCAGCATTTTGAGATTTTGATAGAACCGCTCTCAGCAAAATGTTGGGAAAGTTTGAGATTACAAATACTTGGCAGCGATTTGTACTACTTAACAAAAAGGTTTATTTAGGAGACTCTATGCAATTCGGCCACCATCGTTGGTCTCATTTCTTTCAGTTCCATATTAATTGCAATCATGTCGATCAAAGTTGTGGTTTCTTTCTGTTTTTATTTAGATTCCTGGGTTTTAAATTATCGGTGCATTATAATTCACCGCCTTTTAAATTTTGACAATAACTACTACATATGATCAACATTACTAAAACTATCCTAGACGTGAAGGATTTCCGCGTTGCAGGTGATTATCACAAACGGATACTATTGCAACTCAGTGGAATGTTTGCACTAAAACAGTGGGTATCTTTCGGACGGCAAATTGGTCAGCTGCATTTTCGGTTGATTGGCAAATTTAGTGACCAACTGCAAAGTAAGCCCGGTATCTAGCTAGTCCCGCAAATCCTACTGTGCCACAAAGTTGCATGTCATAATCTTGACGTTATAACTGAGTATTTTTGGGGGCTCAGAGCTCAAAATGGTTAAAGAGAGTAGAAATGAGACCTTAGAATGACCAAAACCCTAACCATACTATGTTTGGCAACATTGGTAATCCATAGTATATTGGAGAGCATGAATCCTTGACTCCTCTGACCACGTGTGTATTATAACAATATCACCAAATTACACTCTACCTGACACCCATGGCAATCAGAGTCTGATTCTAGCAGCTTAGACCCGATTGTGGTAGATCCAGGCTCTAATGAGGTCTCTCGACTGTGTGGAAGCTGACAATAGCGTTTTCGCTCAATTCGAACCATCTTAGTGTTAATTTTTTTTTAAATAGTAGTATTAATTTTTGTAAGTAGTACCATTTTGACATGCGATCATTTATGCGGTGACAGTTCAGCACATTTGTATGGACTTGTGAAACACTATCAAGTTTAACCACTGAAAAATCAGCCTTTGTAAATCTTTGAATTAACCAAAATTTGGGACTGCGAAGATGGTTGGCTAATGTTCACTGCACTCTAGTTGGGTAATATCGTATTCTGTCAACATCGTTTCCGGTGACCATTATGCAAACTGTGTTTGTTAAAGCGCATAAGGTAGCCTTTTATTGCTTTAAGGCTTAACGTAAAGTAATAAAATGTACTTTCTGCGCCCTCCTATCCAACAAATTTTGGGCTCAAATGCAGAAACTCTTATCTTTGCGTCAGATCATTTACGAAGAAAAACCGCAGCATCAGAAACCAAAAAAGGCCAGTTGTTTAATATTGCATACTGTCCTTCTCCATTTAAGTAGAATGACAACTTAGTAAATGTTTTGATGGGTCTGTGAACAAAACAACCCTACCTGGCACTGTATTTATCAAGGATGGTGTTATAAATGAGACCATACACGGACGCCAGAGATGACGCCAACAGAGAAGGCGAAGTTGGGGCAGAGGCTTAAAAAATTTTTGTTTAGTTAAAATTTGCTGATGGTGTTCACTGGAAGTCGATTATTTATAAAGGCATTGGTAAGGATCGAGCTGGAGTGAAAAAGGAATTAGAGAAAGGAGCAGTTGGGTGTAAAAGAAACCAAAGAAGCAATGGTGAAAGTGTCGGTGAACATCAAACTGCTGACAAGTAGGTTGAGGAGCAGTTTTTGCTACTATTAAATTTGGAGGTACTGTTCCTGGGTGTAGAGATGATGAGAGTTGGGATTATGATGCTGATAAACGTAACACGATGACTGCTGCAAAGCTAGCGCAATCCTTCACAAAGTAAGCAGACAGTAAACAGTGTGTGTTGATTCGGTTGTATGCAAATGAGCAGACGGTGAGACTTTGCAGCATCCCTTTCAGCTTGTTTGGGTTGTTGGGTATCCCACCGGTGCAGTATAGTGTGTCAAAAGTAAAGATTACTTTTGATTTTTACAAAA